AATAACCAACTCTTCCCTTGCATCTTAATTTTGGAGGTTCAAAGCACACACTTGGGTCTTGTTTGGGTTGAGCTTTAAATGGTTGATGGTGCTAATTCTTAGGTTTTCCAGCTACCTCATCAAAAGTTGATCCTTGTCGGCCACTGATATATTGTCCATATGGATGAATAGATTTGTGTTGTCAGGGACTGGTTGATAGTTTGTATATATCTTGTACAATGTCAGAGATAATACACTTCCTTTTGGCAGCTCATTCTTCTGCATCCTCCCTCTACTGTTCTTACCATTCAGTAGCACATAGAATCTCCAGTTCTGGAGGAAGCTACCAATGACTCTGGTTAGCTTATGACCTTTGCTGATATCATTTAATTTACATAGCAATACCCTATAGTTTACAGTGTCATATGCTGCAGTTAAGTTGATGAAAGCCACACCAGTAATTGGTTTTCTTTCGAAACCATCCTTAATATATTGTGTAAGGTTTAGGATTTGACCACAACATGACCTCCCTGGTCTAAAACCAGCTTGCTTCTTTATAATCTTTTCATCAATAAATGTTTGAAATACGATTGAGAATCATACATTCCAATGCCTTGTAGAGATGCATAGGAATGATACTGGTCAGTAATTTTTCATATCATCTGGGACTTCGCTGGATTTCAGTAAGGCAGCAACTCTAGCCTGCCACCATCCCAATTCTGGGATCTTAAATTTGGCTGTACAATTGTTCATCAATTGCCTTTATTATTTTTATAAACAACTTAAGGTGACTGACCCAAGATCACCCAGCTAGTTTTCATGCCTAAGGCAGGATTAGAACTCATGATTTCCCATGAGTACCTGGTGCCTTAATCACCACACCAAATATTTATTATTAGTAGTAAGTATTTAATGTACAAAATAATCACTTTTTAAAATTATCTGAGTGTTTGAAAGAGGCAAGCATTCTTCTAAGGTAGAAACAGATACTGCTGAACATTTCAAACCAATGTTTGCTACACATCATGGAAGATTCCGGTGTTTCTGAGGAAAATTTGAGGGAAACACAAGCAACTGCAAGGTCCTACCAATTTCAGGGAGCAGGATGAATGACTCTAGAATGCCACAGATATGAATTATGCATCCCTTGTTTAAAGAGAGGTCAACATCATCAATAATGGACCAAGGACTTCTAGCCATCCATTTGTATCTTCCCATGCCAGCAGCAATTCATGAAATCTGCATGGATTTCCTCAATGTTTTCCAGAACTGAGTAAAGAAGCTGTAGAACAGAAAATGCTACTAGGACAATATGCAGCAAATTTCAGTGCATATTTACTAGACTCTGGATGAATTTAGGATTAATTTGCAGACATGATTAAAAGATCTAATTAATGACAACAAGGTAGAACAACCAGACTTAGAATTGACAGTGAAGAAATTGTAGCAACGGATAGTGAATGGCTTTTAGGATCAACAATCAACAGTAAAGGGCCAAGCAGTCAAGAGATACCTTGGAAAAGATATTCAGATGTTGTGATGTTTCTGTATCTACAAAGATCAGAATCATGCAAGCTGTTGAATTTCCTGTGATACTGTATGGTAGTCAAGGTTTAACTTTAAAGAAGCAGGGTAGGTAGAGTATTGATGTCTTCGAACTTTATATTGGAGAAGACTCCTGAGAATACTGTAGATAGGCATGAAATCAAAACAGTGGGTCATTGAATAAACTCGCTGTGGGACAACTCACCAAGGCCAATTTGGTCATTTGTGCCTCAGGTAAGAACTCTGGGTTGATTTATTCAAAATTTTGAATAACTCAGAGTTCTTACCTGAGGCACAAATGACCAAATTGGCCTTGGTGAGTTGTCCCACAGCGAATTGGTCATGGTGAATTGTCATAGCTGTACACAGACAGTCCTCAATTTACAACCACAATGTACCCAAAATTTCTATTACTAAGTGAGACGTTTGTTAAGTGAATTTTGCCCCATTTCTTGCCACATTTGTTAAGTGAATCACTTCAGTTGTTAATTTGGTAACAGGTTTGTTAAATGAATCTGGCTTCCCCATTGACTTTGCTTTTCAGAAGGTCACAAAAGGTGATCACATGATCCTACGACACTACAATTGTCATACATATGAGTCAGTTACCAAGCATCTGAATTTTGATCACATGACCATGGGAATGCTACAATGGTCATAAGTGTGAAAAACAGTCATAAGTCACTTTTTTTCAGTGCCGCTGTAACTTTGAACAATCACTAAAGTAACTGTTGTAAGTTGAGGACTACCTGTACAAAACTTAGGACAACTATTACTTACCCTTCTGAAAAAAAAAATATACATCATGGTCATTGCTGACAAATAGTACTGTGGCAAAGGTATTTAAATATGTTGGTAAAACTAAACAGTGAATGAAACCAATAAATAACCAGATACTTCTTTTTAACTAAACATCTAGCAGATTTCTCATTTTTTTATGAGCATAACAAAATGTCATGAAGTTTTTAATGAAAGGCATTCATTCTCTCTTGCACTTTAAGTCCGAGTTACCCTTTAAGAAACATTAAACATTTTAAAAGGTGAACTTTCAGTGAGCTGTAGTGTGGTAGGTGCTATTTTGGAGTTTCTGCTAAAATGAGATTGAGGGAAATGATCACATATTTTAACCACACACAAATATGTAGCTTTGGATCAACAAATCATCAAATCAAATCTTTATTATGGCATGTTATGTTATCACTTGCCTCCCTCTCTGGATGCTCACGCCAATGCTTAGCTGTTTATGATGAACTTGATAAGCTGACCCCTATAAAACCATATGGGGCAGCATTTCACACATTGCAGTTTCATCTTGTGCTTTTTAAACATACAGTACACAGTTTTAATTCAGCTTGTATTCCTCTGGACTTTAAAATTGGATGGTCACATCAATCAAATTTTTGAAAGATGTTGTTTTTCAATTTCCCCCCCCTTACTTTAATCCTTTCTTATATGTCTGTTATGAGTATTCCCAGGTAATATGGATACATATTACCTGAATACATTCTTTGCAGGAGGCATGGCGTTAAAATGAGGTTTCTGTTCTAAGGTTGAAATTCAAACCTTCAAATATCAATTCTGCCATAGAAAGTCTGTGTAAAATGTAATGGAAGTTGATGACTGAAACTATGTAAGGACATGTTTTAATCAGAAATTGGCTCAAGAAGCTTGTATACAACATATTGAGGGCATCCATCATGTGCTAGTGAATGTTATTAAAGTTAGACATGAAACAACTATTTGTTTGGAGAGGATTTTTAAAAAAAAAAAAAGGAGAGGAAAGAGAATATTTAAAAAAGGAGAAAAGTTGTTGAAAAGTTTCTAGTTCTGTCTTTCCAAACCTCATCTAGCATTTAGAATCCCTGCCATCTCTTCCATCCCTGAGTCCATTTCAATTCCACAATTACATTGATTATTGACTATTCATCTCCTATGATTATATATCATTATATTCACTATTTTTCCATACCACTAAAAAAAACCCCACTACTTGTGTTATAGCACGCCTTCCTATTATGGCAAGTATTTAAATCGGCTGAAAAAGATTGAAACTAAAAGCATAATATAAAAAGTCACAAATGCAATTAAACTTTGGTCTGTGACCATAATAAAAATTGATTGGGGAGGTGGGAATTAAACTTAGCAAAAAAACAAAAACAAAAAAAAATGTAAATCTAACTATTAAAAACCTGACAAACAGTCTTTACAGATTTCCTGGCCGTATTGAGATTGGGGACTGTATTTGCTGCCAAAGGAGTTGCATTCTTTCTTCCACATATTAAATAGAGGGACTTGTGACACAAGGGAAATCTCTGAATGGTGTGCCTCTGCAGATTTTAACACTGTACAGCTTTCAGTTGGGAGAGGCAGTCAATTAGTTACTCAGGACCCAAGGTTGTATGTCAAGGTATTTGCTAGGAAATAGAAACAAAAGCAAGCAGCGACTTGGCACTTTGTACCTACTGTCAAAGAAAAGGAGAAAACAAACTGAAATCTTGCCAATTTCACTTCTATGCCAATTTGTTCCCTATTGCTGTGACTGGGCTACTGCACATCCTGGAACAGTTCCCCAAAAATAGAAGAGGTCAACACAACACAATTCTAATAGCGTTCTTTCCATTCCTGCCACTAGTACAGGGTGTCACACTCACATTGTTATGGTGGCGTCACATGACGTATTGGGACTTTTTTCCCGTTCATTAAACTGGGCATGGCCAGCACTTGATGCATCCGGCCTGCGGGCTGGGAGTTTGACAGCTCTGCACTAGAGCAACAAAACCATGCTTATGCCTATAACAAAAAATAGATGCCAAAAGGCCAGTAATGCTATCCTTGTGGCTTTACACATTATTGGTTTTTAATAGTAAAACAAGTAAGGGTCTCTGCAGTCAGATGGCTTCTCTACCAAGTTTCTTACTCAGAAATAACTATTTCAGGAACCGCAACAATTTAAGAAATAGGCATCAATTGACTTTTGTTCTGTTTTGTGTTTTGCACTGATTTCTCATGGTGCTGTCAGTTAATTTAACACAAGGTTTCTCAAATTTGGTAAATTTAAGAAATGTGGACTTCAACTCCCAGAAGTCCCCAACAAGCATGGGGAATTCTAGCAGAAGGAAATGTTAGCTTGGGTTCACAACTGAAGTAATGGGCAACAGGTTCTAAGATTAACTAGCTGCCCTACAGAATTTAGAAACCTCCGTAATATCACATATTTTTGTTTCTTTTACTAAGATAATATAGACTCTATTGTTCCATAGGCTTTTGTGCCTATGAAGCAGACTGCCAGGAAGGAATGGAGAGAAGTCAACTGAAGCACCCATAGTTTTGCACTTTATGTGTCCATAATATCGTATTTCTTCTAAGCATAAATGAAATGTTATTCTGTAGCTCATAAGAACTATGATTACAGCCAGATGTGCTATTCCTTTGAAGAAAGTTGAATTTATACAGATTATACTCTCTGTCTCTTCCAGAGGTACAGCTTCTACTTGACAGGAATGTGGAAGGCAGGCTGCAAAGAAGTTGCTAAATATACATACTCAGCACTTGAAGGAATTCTCAGGGAACCTCAAATCCCAGCTGATTCCAAGAAAGCCAAGGGACTAGGGATCTGCCAGCCTCTTCCTGTTCCTCAGAGCAATTGGTGTCAAGGCATGCCCTCTGCTGCGACGGATTACTGGTGAGTGTCATTTGCAACAGTGCAGTGCAGATGAAGTGCTTGCCTTGCAAGAGAGAGAGTGCTGGGGTTCTGAATCACATATTTTGCACATGGATTACGGTTGAATGGAATTACTAGTCTCTTCATTTCCATGTATTTTCCCCGCTTCTGGTTTTATCTGCCCAACTGGACAAACTGTCAGATTTCCAAGTGATGAAACCCATAAAAAAAAAATAATAAGCAAAGTCCATCTTCCAAAACAAATTTCTTTTATTTAGGTTGGCATCAATTTGGCAAAGTCTGTTGTAATTCCGGATCTGACACAAACCGGAATTACACCACGTAATATTGCAAGTTAGATACATCCCTCACAAGCCACATTAGCCAATGAACACTGAATCCACATTTCCCAGTGTCTTCAAACTCCAACTTCCATTCTTCCATTCTTCCATTCTTCCATTCACCAGAAGCAGCCTCTGTTCTCACGGGAAAGAAAGTCACCTAGCCAAAACAATCCTCACTATCTATTCATTCCTTCCTCCACACCTTAAGAATGTGGTAAGCCCGAAAAAACCCCTTACATAGGAAAGAGAAAGAAAAGGAATAAATGAGTATACTAAATAAAATGGCTACATATATGTCTTCCTCTGCCCCAACACATAAAGCTTTTTGCTTGTGTAGCCTTTTGTAGAGGTATCCACAAATCAGACAGTTTCATCAGAAACGTATGGGCAGGAATGCACAATGTATTTACAAAAGGAGCAGCACTTCCATCACAATGTCACAATGCTCATTTCATCATTTTCCTCTCTTGCCTTCTCTTTGTGTCCATGCTTTCAAAATTGACAAAACACTGCATAACAGAAGTTCCTTCAGGCCAGTCCTTGAACCATTACAGTGTAGTGTCTCTGTTTTCCAAAACAACAACAACCAGTGGTGTGGTGGATAACAACATGTTACTACTATTATGCTACAGGCTCAAATCAAGTCACTGATTTTGTGAGGAAATGGGAATGTATGGTTCAGAGTGGGATGTGGAATAAATTACTTTAGTTGAATAGTGACCATTACTTTTGACATCCAATAACTTTTGACATGTTTTGATCCATCAACCCCAAATATCTCAATCAAATATTACCATGAAACAAAGTGTACGTGCACCGACAAGAGTTTGTTAGAAAAGCATTAATGTATACTACAAGAAATGATGGGAAGGACCTAAAATTTTTTATCCTCTCTTGTTTTTACTACCTTCCATTGCTTTTGTATGTTTTCCTTTTGGATCTTGGAGCAGGCTTGAAAAGATTATTTGAGACTATGGTTGTTGCTCATAAGGCAAGGGTGTTCATTTGTTCATTACTCCTGCATTACTTTTAAGCTATACTCTCAGTATACATGCATATTAAAACTAGACATTTTAACCTATGGCTTGTGTATATATCAAGCTAAGCCAAAAATAATTCAACCATATTTTGGTTTTGTCTTATATATGTACCATGCAAAAGCTGAATGCCACTTTAGCATGATTAGAATTCTAAACGTAATTTAGGATTATGTTTATTTCTTTTACTTTTTGACTTTATTGTATTTTTACTATTTTAATTGATTCAAAAGAAAAAAATACAGTAGCATATTAGATCACAATCAAAGAAAAACTAACTGGTTTGAAAACCGGGGTCGTACTTGCAAATCTTGTGTTAGAACCTATTGACCCAACCCTGCAAAAACTCTGTTTCATTTTGTATATTTTGTAATTATCTCACTTTTAAAAACTATACTTTGCTCTGGAAGGTAGGGAAATGCCCAATCAGTGGAAGTTCTCTGCAGCATGCTGAGGAGACGTAACCTTCTCACCACACTTCTGATTGCTTTGCCATGGGGTCTTCTCCTAACTTTGTGGCATCAGTATCCAACCACCCGCTATCTAAGCCTTCTAAGAAGTAAGTATATAAATCCTGTCTTACAAAAGGTTTTGCAACATTCTTTCATAACAAATCTTTTGCAAAAAAAAATTCTCAATTACTTAAAATCAAGGATATTTTTAAAATAATGTTTATATGATTCTTTGAAGCTTAAGACTTCATTGAGTCAGGGGCAAGTAGGTGATTTGTGTTGGAAATATGAATTCAGGAACTTTTGTTAGAAAATATGCTCCTGAACACAACCAGAGTGTTGAAAGAATACTGAGTAATTAAATAGTAGAATATCCCATTTTTTAAAAATACCCATAAATTCGTTTAGGACAGAGGTCAGCAACCTGTGGCTCCAGAGCCACATGCAGCTCTTTGGGCCCTCTGCTGTGGCACCGTTGGGTGATCCCACCACTAGCTCACCCACCCCTCACCCTCCCCTTCTAGTCACTCCTCGCCTGGTGTGAGAAGGTAAGGGTGGTGGCAGGGGATGGAGAAGCAGCCAGGGCAGAGACAGAGAGATACAGAGAGAGAGATACAGAGAGACAGGGAAAGGGAGGGGGAGGAAGAGAGGGAAGGAGGAAGGGGAGAAAGAGAGATGTCAAAAAGGTTTTGTGGTTCCCAGTGTTTTTTAACAACTGGTTCTCTGCCCTAATGACCAGCTGGGTAGGCGTGGCTAGGGAGGGTCATGTGACTGGTGGAAGTGAGTGACATCGAGTTGGCCATGCCCACCCAGGTTTTGTGGCTCCTGGTGTTTTCTGTGGGAAACGGGTCCAAATGGCTCTTTGAGTGCTTAAGGTTGCAGACCCCTGGTCTAGGATGTAGAGATAGCCCAGCTATAAGTAAATGTTAGCAGACATTCATTGTATTTGTATAAAAAGCTAGATTTATTAAGTAGTACATGAAAGTAAAAAATACATGCTTTTATCTAAATTACATCTTAAAGACAGGGAAAGTTGTGATAAAGTCTGAAGCACCAAAGAACAGAAAATTTCTTATCTCTTAACAGCAGAGATTCTTGACAAACAGCATAGATATTTTTTTTCATCTATTTCTTGCCCTTTGCCCTTGTGGTAAAATAGACTCATAAGGCCTTTGTTGGGTGTTTATGTTACCCTTTTTGTTGTCTGTAAACAGTCACCAGAGCCCATCTTGTTTGAGTTTGTACCGGATTTTTATGAGAATATATTATAAATAGCCCAGAGTCATTTGGAATTGAAGAGTGCCTAAATTTTATTAAACAGTCAGTTGCAAAGAGATGATGCCGTTTTCAACAGTTTGCAATTACCTAATTCTTGGACGGACGGATGGATGGATGACAGACAGGCAGACAGACAGACCGACCGACCGACCGACAGACAGACTTTCCTGGTTTCCAGATTAGCTAACAGTTTAGAATTTCCTACCTGTCTTTGCTCTAAGTACTATCTAGACCTAACTTTTCTGAGATCAGTCAAGTTCAGCTAGACATTGTTGCCTACTCAGGTTTAATTCACTATTAATCTGTAAAATATAGCTAGGGGAAGGCTTCTTTTCTTTTTGATCATGTGTATCTCATGTTCATTGATAATTCATTGGCAGTTTGTACTAATCAACTTGTTTTCATGTCCTTGGAGGCTCTTTTGTTCTTTGTTACTAGACTATCATTTACTTTCCCTTCTACAAGCAAGTCCCCGTTTAAATGACTGTTCCATTTCTGAGCCATTTGCAAAGCTGAGTTCCATGTAGGTCAGCTGGCTCTTTTGCACATCCACAAATATGTAGTCCATTACTAACATACTGTATATAGGCTGCAATCCAAGCTGCAATCCAGATATATTTTTAATCTCTAATTTTCCTACAGCAGAAAAATACACAGCCAACATCAGAAACTAGCTTTTGGTTAGATTCTCTATCCAACCCAGAGCACAGTGTGGGTGTTTTGCTTTCAAAGGTGAAAGCAGGAAGAATCTTAGGACCTAAAAAGTAACTAAATTACAATTATAAAGGTAGCAAGACCGCCCACAGCTGCAGGGATGGGGGGGGGCAAAGAATTTATGGGTTACATAATGGCAATACTAATATGTTATAACTCATCAGTGTTCAGAATATTTTCCTCCCCTACACAACAGTCAGTGTGACCTCACAGTGCACCCACTGAAAGAAAATTAAGCACTCTCCTGGATATTGCTTCCATGATTCATAGTTGCAAACTCTTAAGGATATTATTGTTACAATAAATATTTGGATTTGATGCAAACCCTATTTTTACTTTTTGGGGTGTTCGGGAAATAAAATGCCAGTTTTAAATCAGAAACAGATGATATAAACTGAGAGAAGTGTTTTGATGCTTGTGCTGTATTATCTTTTTTTCCCCTTTTTCCTTAGAGGAAACAGATGAAAATGGCACAGCCAAGTCACTTTTCAATGGGACGTCACTAGCGAGGGAGGATGGGCTTGCATCATGCACTCGGCAGCCAGCCATTGGGACAGCTCCCAAAATAATCCGGAACTATGTGTACTCCAGGCCTCCCCCATGGTCAGACACATTGCCTGCCATATTTGTGATCACACCTACCTATACTCGACCAGTACAGAAGGCTGAGCTTACCCGACTGGCGAATACTTTCCTTCATGTACAGAACCTCCACTGGGTAGTAGTGGAAGACTCTCCTAGAAGAACCAACCTGGTGTCCAATCTACTGGAGAAAGCAGGGATTCATTTTACTCATCTGAATATTGAGACTCCTAAGAGTCTGAAAGTAGGTTTGTCCTGGATTCCATCTTACACTCCCAGGGGCACATTCCAGAGGAATCTTGGACTGCATTGGCTTAGAGAAAGTTTTAGCTCCACCCCAGTACCTGAAGGTGTAGTATACTTTGCAGATGATGATAACACCTATAGCCTGGAGCTATTTGAAGAGGTATGCTATTCAAAGATTTGAGGACTTCATTTTTGACTCATGATTTAGGCAGATTAATGATTACATTCTCTATTCTTCATTCTTTTGATATATAAAGGGAGGTATAGATTAGAGGAGTGGTTCCCAACGTGGAAATATTTAAATATTAATTAATTAATTAATTAATTAATTAATTAATTAATTAATTAGTAAATAAATTTGATTTTTAATGGGGGCAATTGGAACCTTGTTTAAATCAAGTTAATGGCCTTTTAGGCTTCCTCTGTGTGAGTAGGAGTTCACTTTTTGAATAGTAAGAATTATATGTCACCGGGGGGGGGGGGTGGGCATCAGGATTTTAGAGATGTTTAGGTGGGGCATGGCCAAAAAAAAAAGGTTGGGAACCACTGGGTTACAGGGTTATAAGTAGGTTTATCAAGAAGGAATGAAGGTCAGTGGAAATGCTCATGCTTTGTATATAAAATATCATGGTTTCAATCTCTGGTATTTTTCATTAAGGTTGAGAAAGTTTCTCAGTGAAACCCTGACTCGCTATTGCACTAAATGTAAATTAGCCCTTTCCAGACAGGTGTCCAGTATTTGTGCTGGACCACAATTGCCAGAAATTCCAATCAATGTGGTATCAGATGAGTGAAGATGAAATAGGTCCATAGATGATCGATTAACTGCCAGTACAACCTATCGGTAATTCTAGCTAGAGAATGAGAGTTGCAATTATAGTTATGGTTCTGAAATATGGACAGGAGTGTTTGGAAACAAACAAGATATTTGCCTGGCATATTTAAAACCATACCTGATTCTGTTCCTGAATATCTCCGTAGAAAATACAGACAGGACCCCTTCAAGAAAAGACCTTCAGAAGGGCAAGGCAGAAAGTGAGGCATGGAAAAGTAAAAGTAAAAAGAAAATAATAAACATATGATCATATGTAACTACTGCAAGAATACAGGTAGAAAAAGTTGGACAACTCCCAAGAGGGGCTCACAGTATATAATAAAAAGATTAGAAGGACTCATGTATTCATGTATTCTTGTTTTCTTCCTGACAAGCAGATGCGCTACACAAAGAAGGTCTCTGTCTGGCCAGTTGCTTTTGTTGGTGGTCTCAGGTACGAATCCCCCAAAGTGAGTCCAGCAGGCAAAGTTGTAGGTTGGAAGACTGTGTTTGATCCTAACCGGCCTTTTGCCATTGACATGGCCGGCTTTGCCATCAGCATAAAATTGATTTTGGAGAAACCACAGGCCAGTTTCAAGTTGGATGGCGTGAAAGGAGGCTACCAAGAAACTAGTTTATTAAAGGATCTGGTGACAGTGGATGGACTGGAACCTAAAGCTGCCAACTGCACAAAGGTTAGCAAAGTTTTTTTGGGGGGATCACAATAATTTTCCCCATCCAGTGGACCATTATTCCCATGCTTATGTTGTCAGTTAACATAAATTAACATTTATGTTAGTTATATGTATAATTACATGCACATACCTAATATCCAGATCTAGATATATTAAAACATTGGAGCTAGGGTCTTATATAAACAGCTATTACAATGCAATCGGGCAATGAAGAAAGAGATTTAGCACATTAGTCCACATGCAATCAAAACATAAAACACGCACTTCAAACATATACCTTAATACATGGATATGAGAACAGGTGCAAAAATCCAAATGACTTTTCTGAATGTATTGACTGCCATCTAAAGGTCATGTGAGAGCCAGTTTTGGGTACTGGTTAAGGCCAGGAAACCATTGATTCTAGTCCCACTTTAGGCATAAAAACAGCTGGGTGACTTTGGACCAGACATTTTCCCACTTGGTCTTAGGAAGTTTTTCTATTCTTAAAAACTTTGCCAAGAAAACTACAGAGATTTCTCCAGGCACTTTCTGAATAAAGAAGACAATTGAATGGAAGGGTGGGGGAGAAGGATCATGTAGATTTTTGCAGCCCACACTTGGTTGCCCTTCTATGAAGACATTGGCAGATTTTTTTTAAAAAAATAGGTAGATATACAGGTGATACATCATTGCAGTAGAAATACTGTATTTGTTGTGGCTCCGTTATCTGAGCCTGTGTCATCGGCAGGAGAGGACTCTGAGGGTGAAGGAAAGGAGTTGGCAAGGCCTCCCTCTCCAGGACCCTCCTCTCTGGCAATGCCTTCGGTGTCCGCCGAAGGGCAAGAGATAGGACCGGGGCCAAGCATGTCCACGCAGCCACAGATGGACAGTGATGAGGGTAATGAGTCTTGGCTGGATCCACGCCAGCGTCGCAGAGATAAGCACACGCAACAGAAGAAAAGGCCTGCCCGAGATTAGGCTGAGTCACTGGACCACACCCCACAGGATATAAAAGGGAGCGTGGTGGCCAGTCAGACCTTGTGACGAACAAAGCTGAACGCTTCCACGCCATTCTGCATTGCCGGACTTTTGGCTATAGACTTTGCTGGATTATCTCTGGACTTGATTGACTCCGTAATTATTGAGCTGTTTCTTTTGATGTATCAGAAGTGGGGAGAAATTATCTCTCCTCTTTGTAAATAATAAACTCTTGGCAGGCAGCCACTAGGTTGTTGCCAAGTTCCGTTATCATAAGGAAAAGGATTTTGCCAGCTGGTTTGGTCTTTAACTCTTGAATGACTGTTGGTGTGTGTGCGTGTGGTTGGGGACGGAACAGTATTCTAGATTTAGAACAAATATCTTTCTGTACATTTTTAAATTTTAAATTGGCTTTTTTTTTTTTTTTTTGCAAATGACACATACGTAGTAGGAACCAGGGTGAAGCTATCTGCCCAGTTTCCATGCTTCTCCCTATTCTCATTTGTGCCTGTCATCCTCTATCTCAATTAGCTATTTTGAATGTAATGAACTGTGGACACATCCCCTCCTCCTCATTCAATTTATTCCCAGCATTTGTGGGAATAAATATTTTGTTGTTTTTATAGGATACTGCTATAACTATAATGAGTCTAAAAATAAACCAGGTAAGTGTGTGATTATGTAAATATACCCTTCCAAGAAAACTTGCAATTTATTTTGAGTCCTATTCAAAGATTTCATATGCATAAACGTATGTGTACTTATGCACTAGGCAGGTTTGCTGATACCTATTATGTGTTGCTGTATAATTTTAATATCTAAAGTTTAATATTTAATATTAAATTTCCTTGATAGGTTTTGGTCTGGCACACAAGGACTGAAAGGCCAACACTAGTTAATGAAGGCAAACGTGGATTCACAGACCTAAGGGTAGAAGTGTAGATAACTTGGTTTTTTTTGCTGTAAGTATAAGATTTTTGCTGTCTCAAGATTTCTCTATAATTTGCAAGTAGCTCTTCAAACATCTTCAATGTAGGGTTCATTTAATATGCATCAGGATGGATTCTTCGATACTATGAATAGTTTACTGTCTCAAATTATCAGTCCTGGTCTGCCTGTGATGCTATATGAAATGCTATCAAAATGTACTTTTGAATCCCACTCTTAAAGTCAGAATTTAGGCCCAGGCATGGGGTTCCTTGATTAGACTCTGTTTTCTGACTGATTTTTTGCCTGGTGCTAATACCTGCTTATCTGGGTTTGGGTTTCTTGAGAAGATGTATTCTAGCCTTTGTTTCCTTCTTAGCTTTTTTATTGCTTCTTTTCAATATTGTGTAAATAAGGATTATTTCTATGTGTCTATTGATTTGTCTGAATGTCAAGCTTCCAGGAATTCCCTAGCAGTTTTGAACTTATCTTGGTCTAAGAGTTACTAAGAGTCCGCAAACTACAGCAGATATAAATTGCAATGAACAACTAGATTAAGCAGGCAGCTATAATCAATCATTTTTATTTCTTAAAATAATTTAGGGGAGTTATGTGGAGACCAGGGGCTATCTAGAAAATAAAAATGACCCCCTACCTTACTTCATTTCATGCATGTTCACGTTTTTAATAGCTATTAATAAAATATAATGTTTTAAAAATTGCATAATTTGGGGCATGGAGCCTGCTAGGCATATAGGAGGACCTCATTTGGAGATCTAGTGTTTTTCCCATCATCAAGTTGTCTACAGCATACATTAAAATACATTGAAGAGTACCAAAATACCCTGAAGTGCATTATTAATCTTGTTCCTCAGTTCACAGCTTGTTGCTATATGCTTTTCTTCAATTATTTTATAAATAATCCTCTGAATTAAAAAATTGAGTGTCTTTTTTTTTTCCTTCCTAGTGTTTTTCCTGCAAATGCAGAGTCCATTTGTGTTGATCCATTGGTTGCCACAGGAATTGACAGGCTCGTTGCGTGAGCCTGTCATCGTGGTCTGAGAGAGACAGACAGACAGACAGACAGATAGACAGACAGACAGACATTGGTCCAAAATCATCCAGCTGGCTTTCATATCTAAGACAGTACTAGAACTCACAGTTTCCTGGTTTTTAGCCGCTACACCAAACTGGCTGATTGAGATACTTAAAATGTTAAGTACAAGGGCTAGCTAATGTGGAGTCAGAATAGTTTCCCATCATAGATCATTCTTGATTAATCTAGTTCAAAGCACGTGCTACCCTGTTTTTCTTGTAGCTCTTTATATCCCCTAATACAAACAATCAATTTAGGGACCCTAAAATCAAAAGAGGCATTGTTTGATTTTATTTAATAGTTAAACCTGTCTAAAACCAAGAATTTTAAACCATTTACTTCTAACAAGACAACACAAGTGGTCTTTTGTTTTCCAGAATATGAGATTTATTTTTATTTCCTTTTTAAAAAAATAATTAAAAGAGGATTTGGGGGGGGGGACCTGTATTTCAGTCTTTGAAAACTGAACCGATAAAGCTCTGTTAATCTATATATTGCCAGGTTTGTTCTTCTTGGACAGTCTCATTGCATGATGGAAGTAATTGATTATGATGCTGAGCCTGACTCAGCACAATCTCAATGTTACAAAAAGGATATATTGCAAGCTTTACGAATAACTTTAAAAGATCCAGGGAGAAGTATTGGCTGGCAGCTCTAAAAACTAAAATGGCTCTATGTCAAGATTTCAGGGATTGAGGCTTCTGCTCTAGTTAATTACAGTAGGTACTGGTAATGCAATATTTTAGTTCTGTGCAAAATTAAAAAGGGCTGTATTCATCTGTTCAGCATGAGCTTAGAATAAAGAACGAAAGCAGCTAAAGTAATCCATATTAGATGGCAAACATGGAACATATCAGATAGCCTTTTATCAAATGAAATTACTCAACCATTCAGCCCAGAATTATGTATTCTAATTAGCAGAGTTAACAATGACTCTCTGGTTGAATGTGTACTTATTACCTGTTGTTTTTAAATGCAATGTTAAAGAACGTACCTGAATTGCCTACATACAGACCACATCCTGGTCTATTGAGCTATAGCTCTTCCATGAAGAAATTTGTCATGAACTTAGTTCCTTTCCTAAAGACTAAGTAGACAAAAGTAAGAGAACCTGCACATTACCTCTCAATATGATATGCTTTACACATGAAGAAGGGAACACTAATTTTCTACTACCGGTAGTAGTTATATGTTTGATATAACATCTCATTTGATCCTGACTCAACTCAATGTCTTTGTGACTTGAAGTTATTGGAAATGTAATATGTAGATTGAAATGCTTATCCATATCTATTTATTTCATTAGTTTTACCTTTAATCCCCCCAAAATCAAAATTCCAAGGATCTTGTATAGATAGATTAGTTCAAAAAATATTATAATATAATGGTGGAACAGGGGAGTTTTTAAAATTGAACAGCTTCAACTTTGACTGTTTTTCTTAAAACTAGAACTGGCACATAAGTCTGTTCAATATTGTCTATCAGTTTGATGAGCACAGAAATTGGATGGATGATATCTCCCTCCCATGGTACAATTTGTTAAGAAGAAAACTCCCCAGAGTAATGAGAGTTGGCATCACTTCTAAAAAAGCTCAGTGGAAGAATTCCTTCATTATGTTTTTACTTGTACTATCATCTTTCTTCAGCAGTTTGAAGCCAACATGACTACAGACTGCTAGAAAGGGGATTATAGAGTAAAAACAGAACATTCACTCCTGGCACTTGATTACTTCATACCTTAACAAATGCAAGAAATGCAAAAACACCATACATCAGCAATGCAGATTTCTCCAGGACGTCTCCTTACCATTAAAAGAATTTGTAAAACAAAGTCTCATTAATCAAATGAGAAAAAAAGTAGAATAAGGTTTCTGCCTGATACCACATAAAACAAATTGGATTATTAACAGCTGTCCTTTGAAGCTGTTTTCCCAGCACCTAAGCACTGCATAGATACTTCCTGGGAAATCTCGGATTTTTGCTTGCCTGAGGGGAAGAAAACTGGTTAATGATAGGAACAACAACTATTTGTAACTGAGCCTTAAAATAAAAACTAAATAAAACTTTAGTTGCTGGGAATGTTCTTTTGTCTCCAGAAGCCAAAGTAAAAATGGTCATGGAGGCACATAGCTCCATGGACAGATGGGAGAGAGCAATCCTGCAGCATACCAGGTAGAGTTGTGTAGGTCACTAACGTCCTACAGGCTCTTCCTACATTTGAGCCAGAATATTCATATAGGAAATCCCAATATATTTTCTAATGCAAAGCAGCTCTTCCCTGTAAGATCAGTTTGATCTTCCACCAGACAGCCAAAGTGACAGAATGATACCACGATCAAGGTGGATCTTGTGAAGATATGTTGTCAAAAGTGACTAATTCCATCTCCATCTCCATCTCCATCCTTCTCACACATTTTCCCCAGTCTCCTTAACTGACCCATACCTTAAGTAGAAAGGAAATTTCATTATCCAACACTGAGTGAATTGTCTTTTCTCAGTGTTGATGCAGCAGAAATATTTCATATTTGGAGACTCTGCACTTTAGGGGAAAAAAATAAGGATCTATAACAAACGAGAGTACATTTCTTGAGCAAGGAGAAAGGGATAGGGTATAGAGATTAAGCTTGTTAAGAAAGAAACAGTCTGAATGTATCATATATTATCTGCTCCCAGAGCAACATGTAATTTCATTTTCTCAAGTTTTTCAATGTCGTTTCTGTTGCCATTATGAATTTTATTCAGCTAAAGGATGGTATCATTTTAAAATTCCTTCTATATTATGGAATGTCAGAAATCCAGGATTATTGGACCAATGTTTCTTATTTCAATATGCTGATTGACAGTTTTGTTGTAATTATTTTTTTTAATGGATGTGTCTAGCTTTATGCTTCTTGGGAGAAGATAGGGTTAAAAATTGAATTATTAATATAACTTCAGAACAATGGTTGCAAATCAGCTCTGAACATGCTCTCCTTTTTGTGTCAGGAAGAGGTTTGTGGTTTGGATGAAAACTATACTGTTCTAATGTAAATCCTCCCATGAATTTATGTAGTTCTTTGTACTCCAAATTCTGCTAAATCTATCCAAGAATATATCGTATGCTTATATATGCCCCTTAAAAATTCCCTTTCTTGTTTACTTTGTAGATAGCAACTTCTTGCATACCTGTCTATGATCAGCAGAATACTGATGCAACAATCAAGAATAACATCCATATTTGTATTGCATTTACCAACTTCTAAATTCTCTAAAATCTGGGAATAAAGAAACAAAGTCAATGTCATATTCAAGGCCATTTGTTCTATATTCTAGTCATTCACAACACAAGTAAGATGACCTGTTTCTTCATTGTTATTTCTGTGTTGGAAGACATTTTTCAAGAACTGAAGCATTTCTGTAAACATCCCATTTGGGATACTGTTAAGAAAAGCCTAGTTGGAGTAAGGGCAAAATTTCTCTTTGCTAATCCACACTTTTGAAGCTTTGTTTTGCCATATGTATTAAAACATCAGCTTTTGCAAATCTACTCCAAAGAATGGAAGTTCAAAATGAACTAGTTCCTGCCTAGTCCCAATGAAATATTCCACACTATTGCAAGAAAGAGAGAGTCACTCTTAGAATTACTTAAAAACTCTTTTAGGCTTAGGAGTTCTTGTTCGAAAGAATGTGGGTGGGCAATTCTTGCTTCGAAGACCATGAAGACGTCTATTGAAGAATGAGATATGCACTCGTTCCCTTCTTCATATCCAAGCCAAGATCAACTAGTTCTTCTTGAATCTGAATGATAAACTGAAGTAGCAAGTTTGAGAACTTCAGTATCAGCAATTCAACATCATGTCCTGTGGCTATGTAGATAAATCTTTGTCATGAGAAATAGAGACAATAAGAAGCACTCAACTATTTAGTTCTCAGTTTGTGGGCAATATGTCAGACAGGAACTAGTTATAATGTTACTTCTGGAACTAGAAAATCTCACATAATTAGTATTCCTTTGGTCCAATCTAGAAAGATTTTTTCTTTAATCTTTGTAGCTTTGTAAATATCTAGCATATTCTTAAACTATCAATGCAGCTGCATGATGAATTTCAACTCTATGTGGAATGATATAGACTCCAACCAAGCCATGCTTGGAGTGAATAGACGATGTTTACTTATACTGAGCCATGGACTCCTAGCTTAATAGATGTGATGAAAGCAAATTTTTTAAAAAAGTAATACTAAAAAGTGAACATTCACAAACAGTAGGAAAAGCCACTATCCCTAGCCCTAATTTTTTCAATTGTGAGCATCAGTTGAAACAGAAATACATATTAGCAATCAACAATCATATTTGTAGATAACAAAGTGTTGATAGGTCATCAGCAAGTGTGAATTCAAATGGGAAAGTGAGTGGGGAGATATATGGGCCAAAAATATAATGGCTGGTAAAAGCACAAAAAAATTTTTTTTAAAGGTGGGCTATGCTCACTTCAAAAGAAAGCCAAACATACTTTTGATGTTTTGTGATGTGTTAGGTTCTTGCAACTGAAGAAACTGAAGAACGTTTTCTAGCAACTGAGCCAATTCCGAATATGATTCTGAGATATGTCAGAACGTGTCTTTATTTCTTGACTTATTTATAACATAGGTCTTTTCTGCCTACTGTATTTCATTTGTATTAACCTGGATTGTCTGCTATTTTTATGGAGAATATTTTTATTTCTCTTCCACCTTGTGTTCATCTGAAACTCAACAGGGAATTACAATTTTTCTATTCACTGCTGAAATGTCATATATATTCATGCTCACTTCATAATGTCAGGAAATGACTGGTGTCTTAATTTAGAAAAATAATTAGAAGCATAATAATGTGAAAAGTATATAATTTAAAGGAAAAAGAGACTATGTGGGAGTTAAAGTTGACAGAAACAGTTTGTCAAGCCTTTCAATTCTCTTACCATCTACTTCTTTGAGGGAAACCAAGGATGACATCTCATAATAGAACTCAGTGGCCAGTAGACTCCTCAGAAGCTTCTAAAAATATCTGATTTAAAAAAAATTGAGGACTAATTATTAGATTTAATTATTACCTTGCACCTATTTATGTTGATAGTAAGAAAAAAAAAGTAAAATACAAAAATAAATACTGCCAAAAAGAAATTTGTTGGCCATTATCTTCTTCTGAGGTGTTGTTTTTTATTTCTACTTAGCATAATATACCTTTATTTATTACTTAATAAAAATTGCTAAATGACATGTCAGATTTGCCTGAAACAATATAACCACATATGATAATGAGATATAAACTCCCAAAGAGAAGAGTATCTTTTAGCACCAAATTGAAGCTTCCAGAATAGGTTACAAAATTTCAACCTAGCCTCACCTCTATTAATACCTCACCTCTATTAAAACCTCACCTCTATGTGCCCAACCTTCCATGGAAACAAATATATTTACTAAAATATAGCTGATCAGAAGAAAGTTATCCACCAGTCATAAAATAATCATGATCTATTTGGGCTAATGGTTCAGTCCGGTATAACCTTACTTTGGAGGAGGAATTTGGGTTTGCCTAAAGAACCCATATGTAGAAAGGCAGAGAGAGGACAATGTGAAGAGAATGAGGTGGAAATGCCAGGAAGGCTAAGATTCATGGAAATCTTCTGCTGAGCCACAGAGAAAAAGGAGCAGAACTTGAAAACAGAGCTTCCAAACTTGCAGCTGGTTAAACATTATCTCAAATTCCCAAAGTTCAATCCTGTCTTGCCTTTCTTTTGTGCATGTCGAATGATAAGCAACAAAATGAAAAAAAATAAGAATTGTGTGGCTGAAGACAAAAGTTTTTTTTCACTTCTATTACAACAAGGGAGCAAATGGAATTCGTGCAGTGAGCAGAAAGTTACTGGAACCCTGAGCTATGTGAAGTGTGACCACAGCAGCCACTAAAGAAGTATTTAGAAGAGTGTTTGTAAAATTTCCTGAGAAATGTGATGTGAAAGAATTGAACTGTTGAAAAAGTCCTGTACAGAAAAGCTCTGGGGTATGTCATGGAGCCACTGTTCTGATCTGTGAATTTCATGAATTGTTAATACTCTGTATTGTCAGAGAAAAAACATAACACAAAAAATCCACAATACCAATCAATGCCAAAATAAGAAAGAGTGTTACCAAGTCACTTTAATGCTTATTTATGTTGGCTACTGATAAATATAGAATGAAAATATCACATGAAGATAACTGGTGTCCTGTATGTGCTTTTCTTGCTACAGCCCCTTGCCCCATTTGGCTCCAATAAAGGAAATATGTTGGTATTTCTCATTTCCAATAGTTCCAAGAACAATTTATCACAAATAGTTTGTTGGATTACTGGAAACATACTGACTCCATAATCATAAGTTCAAAGCCTTTATTGTCATTGTACATCATGTATACAACGAAACTGATTTAGCCTTTACTGGTGCAGTCCATACAAGAATACAAGACAACATGAATAATATAAAGAATAATTCTTATGCAAGTAGTTAGCGGAAAAAACTAGTCATGCGTTTCCTTCAGGGTGGAAGATGTAAAGGACCCAGCCCTTACTTTTTGTGGATAATCCATCAGGAATTCTTTGATCCAGTCACAAGTGAGGGGAGGGAAATTCAAGTCAGTCAGCTTTTCAATGAGAATGCCTGGTAAGATGATATTAAAGGCCGAGCTATAGTCTATAAAAAGCATTCTGACATAATTCCCAGATTTCTCAAGGTGTCTCAGTGCAATATGTAGAGCAGTGGTGATGGCTTCCCCTGTCGACCTGTTGCTTCTATAAGCAAACTAGAAATTTGATGGAAGATGGGGCAAAATTTCAATCAATACCAGTTTGCTTATAGAAGCAACAGGTTGACACGGAACGCCATCACCACTACTCTACATATTGCACTGAGCCACCTTGAGAAATCTGGAAATTGTCAGAATGCTTTTTATAGACTATAGCTCAGCCTTTAATACCATCTTACCATAATTACCATAATTACCAAGACTTTTTACCATAATTTTAATCATAATTTATACTTTTATTGCATATATATAGACATACACCCAGGTATAAATATAGAAAGATATATCTATAATTTCTTACTTTGTAAATAAAAGGTAAATTCAAAACCCAAACCAACCTTTTTCTTTTAAGTTTCCTGCTTCTTGCTGTGCTATTTTAAAAATCTAATCATCTCAGGATTTCATCCTAGCCCGTAAATATCTATTGGAAATTGAAAGTAAAACACTTCTACTTTTAGCGATTGGAAAATGATGAAACTAAGTAACATCATTTGCACAGGAAAAAGTAGGTAGCCTGAGGAAAATAAAAATTAATAATATTAAGAAGAAGAACTGTGACAGAAGAAGATAGTATCAATGGTATTAGCACCATGGGTGCAATCCCAAAACATCTGAATCACCACTTGAACATCATTGGCATTGAAAAATCATCACCAGTCATTTGTAAAAGGCACATTACTTGGAATAGCTACACCAAAGTACAATATTTATTATTTATTAGTATTATTTAGTGGTGTTAGAAACAGGACTCTAGGCAGATAGCAATATAAATAATGATTACAAACATGGAAACAAATAAAAACCATAGCAAGTGGGGGGAAAGTATAAAGTCACAACTGAACATTGAACATAATGAAGAAATGGACCAGGTTAAAGCACAGAACCAAGTGAAGCAGAAAAACACATTCTGGCAATGAGGAGGGATTAATAGGGATTCTGTCCTTCAGAAACAGTTGCCAAAACGTTCTGATGATAGGACAACTTCTGAACATTCTAATCATAGGCAATGTAAATAAGCTCTCAATTTCTTCTGAGGTAATGTTTACGCCATTGTTGACCTTCCCCAAAATGATGACCTTCCCCAAATTTAGCTGACTAAATGATGACTTCATTAAAGTTTGATGAGTCATACATTCCAAAACTTGGCATGTAGGCTGTCATGTTTAGAAAAACATCTTCCATTCTCATAATGCAGCATCAATGATTCATCTTGGGGTATTAGCACAGAGCATAATACACAAATGGTGAACATAATGAAAAAATGAACCCGGTTCACAGAATCCCTTATTTTTGACAGCTAGAAAGAAATCTGGGAGGAATCAGATGGAAGGCAGCCTCTTCTGTGCAGTGAAACCTGAATCTGTTGAATTTAGAACTAGAACTCATTAATATTATTAGCCCAGTAACTCAGGGGTATATAAATTTCTAATAGGCAGATACTTCTTTGTTACAAGAGTGGATATTCTCTTCACAACGTTATCCATTTCAAAATGATGTTTCCTTACGTCATTTGCAATCCCCGCCCTTTTCACCAAATAACTTCTGCTATATTTTCCCACGTCTGAGAATTCTTGCTGTTAAGTGGCTGATTTACATCAAAAATGTGTTTTTGTGTGCGCTTGATAGAAAAATTGTTGAGATTGGAATTTGCAAAAAAAAAAGAATAGAAAAGGAAATACTGTTTCCATTTATATATTTGTGTCAAACTATGTTTTTCTGGGTGTGGGTGTGCGCGCGCACGCACACACGAACATGTAGATGTGCTCACTGAGGTGCTCACTATATATTCACACAGATACGTATATATATATACACAAATATATGAGACAGTGTATTTTGCAAATGCAACTAATTGTGGTTTATTAATTAAGTTGAGGTTAAACAAACTGTAGGTTGATGTGTAGGCCACACAGCATGTGTGTATGTCAAAAGTCATACTTTTATGAAGTAGACTTGTAGTTGCTTTATCTTTTAATTTGGAAACAGATTCTGTACAAGCAAATGATTGGGGGTTAGAGAGGATTCAGCCTACTTAGCCCATGAATTTTCTGCTCTGAACAAGAAACAATAGATTCTTTATAGTTTTTTTTCCTCCATTCGGTTTACAAAAGCATCTTTTAGATTGTATCTCTAGTTTATTTTTTCAGAGCTATGCCGATTTGAAAAAAAAAATGCAGGTTGAAGATAGGCTCCTTTGAATACAGGTAGCATAGAAGGTAGAAATTTGTTACTAACATTTGCTAGAGAATATTAGCATTTACTTCTAAAATGTTTGCCTTTACTTTCCTCCCTCATACACTATAATCCTGTCTCCCTAACGATGGCCATGCTAAAAGACTTGTAAGGGAAAATACCAATGAAATAAAAATAAGTTTCCAATGTTGTAAGAAAATTTTTTTTAAAACCACCTGATCTATCTGAAGAAAGAATGTACACAAATATCAAAAAATAAATTCCATATTGCAACATGGCTATGCAATCTTTTTGTTTTCGCTTCATGAAAATATGTGTATTCATAAAAGAGGGGAAAGAATCCAATTCCAATCATGCATATATTTGTGTATTCAAAGACTCTTCATGAATAACAAATTCATTTCTTTCTCTGCCAAACTTATTCACAAAATATCAGAAATAAAAATATGTTACAGTGACAGCAGTTTTGTACCCTAGATGTTCAAATAAATATTTGAAGCCAGAAAATGCTATAGGAAAGACATTCTGGCAAACTCATTCTCACATAATCACAAAGGCGAAGACTGTTTTAGAGAATCATTTCAATGAGATTATTTGTTCGAATCATCACAACTACTACAACAAAGGAAGTTGACAAAACAAGAAGGCATCCTTCATCTAGATTAAAACTCTTTCAGTGCTTGGATACCACGTTGCCAAAATATATTATCTAATGAAAAGAATTTGGTGTTTAGAGAAGGAACAAAAGGAGATCAATGGTAAGAGACATATTAGTTTTTAAAAAATAAACTAGACAATTTGTGATCTGTTTCAGAAATATTTCCTTACCATTTTTTCAATGCTTTTAATTAGCTTCTAATATGATGCTTTCACTTGAAATATTGGAAGATATTCAGAGATGTATCTGCCTTGCAAATAGCCTATGTTGAATTGAATAGCACATATACCTTCCTTCCTTCCTTCTTCCTTCCCTCCCTCCCCTCCCTCCCTCTCTCTCATTCAGTCATTCTTTCAGAGATATTCCTTTATCACATTCCTCAATACCTTCAACAATGACAGATCTTCTAATATACTGTATTCACTGGAAATGTTCAGATACATTCAGAGACGTATCTGTTGAATTCTATAGTACACTCAAATATCTGCAAATATTTTTTTTATGATATTTGGTATTATGTCATAACGTGCTTTATGAAAATATTGTTGTCCTAAAATCTGCCAAATTTCAATTCTATGGGAGGCATGGGTGCTGGATTTTGGACGCATTCTATAAGTTAGCCCATTTGAGGTACCTTGATTTAAAAAGTTTGCCCTATGTTGCACTCTTTTGCTCAGTTAAAAATTGTAGGAATCAAAGTTTTAATAGTATGTCCTGCTTGATATCCTTCACATTCTCCCATTTCTGAAGACCGTCTCCTTCAGATAGGATAGGAATCATTGCCAGCCAGATCTTGTATGTTCCCTGCATGGCTTCTGATATCTCTTGATATTGCATCAAGCCATTTTTCCAACATGCTGAGCTTCTGCTGCAACATGGATCATAGATCACATGTTGATCAATATATGCAGCTTTGGATCTTCATTTTGGTTAAGAATTTCAGCTTGCACAAATAGATCACAATATTGTGGTCTTGGCTTGGACAATTCATCAAGCCATAGTAGACAGTGCAAATGAAGCAGATTTGAAGAGTCATGATGGTGCAGTGGTTGGAATGCAGCACTGCAGGCTACTTTTGCTGACTGCCAACTGACTGCCTCACCAGTTCGAGTCTCACTGTCTCAGGGTTGACTCAATCTTCCATCTTTCCGAGGTCAATAAAATGAGGATCCAGATTGTTGGGGGACAATATACTGACTCAGTAAACCATTTAGAGAGGGCTTTAAAGCACTGTGAAATGGTATATAAGTCTAAGTGCTATTGCTATTTCATCCCATGACCATTGCAGCAGTCCAACCCCAGCAGTAGTGTGAATCAGTTAAAACTTTCATTCCCTTATGCGTCGTGGGTCCTGGCTTTTGGCTTTTGGATGCATTCTACAAGTTAGTGCATTTGAGATACCTTAGTTAAAAATTGCTTCCTTATGATGTACCATTTCATGCATTTAAAGATCATGACGACAGTTTTAGTAGTATATAGACCATAGTGGTGATAATATCATTTGGGGAACTATTATTTACAAGATGAAAGACAGCAATTACATAAGAAAAGCATATTGCCATGTAACTGCATTATAAATATTTATATATACAGTAAAGTATGACAAGCTCATGATGAAAAGCAAATCCTTTGAAAACAAGAAAGCAACGTCTTTCTGATTCTTTTTCACTTCTGTAATGACAGATCTCATAGACATAGTCATTTAAAAGACAGCGAAGTTGGAATCTGCAACAAAATACTGCAGGACAACTGAGTTTCTAACATTCTTGTGGAGCTGAATTGCATATCTGCTTATCTCCCATACTTCACACATTTGTGTTGCATTGTCAGTATATTTATTTACTCATTGATCAATGTTACCTTTTATAATTATTCCATTGTCAATAGAACATGTATCAATATGCATGTGCATAAGATCCAAAACAATAATATTTAATCACATTTATTTAGGTTAAATAATGAATTGTACATTAAAACCTAAGGTAGTTAGTACTACTACTTCTCTGTTTCTCGCTACCTTTAGCTAGCCACAATAGATCAACAGGGGTCAGTGACAGGCAGCTATTAAGCTTGCTTAGGAAGGGCTCCTTTTACCAGAAGATATTGCTGACTGCAGAGGATGGAAAATATCACCATATGCCTGTTTCTGCATGCACAGATGTTATCCAGGTCTCAATATGTTGCAGAATTGCTAAGCCCCCAGGCTGAAGCATAATGGCGAAATATTAGCTGCATCATATGCTGGATCAGGGACCAGCACTAATAAGTGCTTTAAAAATCTGCTCTCTCTCCCCCTTCCTGGGTATTGCTTGTGTAATCTATGCTTTTTTGAATCAAACTATTACTTGAATATCTCTGTGGCTTTGAGTATTTTTTTTAAATTGCTTATATATCTGTAAAACACCCAATTAACTGGCAAGAGTGTTCTTATTATAAATTATTGTGTCCAGTTCTTGGCACCACATTTTTAGGAAGGATTAAGACATACTGGAACAAATTCCAAGAAGGACAATGATCAGAAGATTAGAACTAGAAACTCAATTATATGAAGATTGATGCAAGAAATAAGAAGTATTTAGCCAGAAGAAAAAACTGAAGGGGAATATCATGTGTCAAATGTCAGCTATGTCAAATACCTGAACGTATGTGACATAGAAAAAGACTTTCTCTACATTTTCTTAGAGAGAAGAATATAGAATAATAGATTTAAATTATAGAAAGACTGATATAATTTGAAAAACCTTCCTATCAATGACTACAGAAGAACCATTAATCATTGATGGGTTCCCTGTCGTAGGAAATGTTCAAGATGAGGTTAGTCAGGCATCTGTCAGGGATACTTGTATTCCTGTCAGGAGTTTGGACCTGATGAATGGCACGGTCTAACTTTTACATCTATGATTAAGAAAATAATCTTTGATGTGATAGATTCTTTTCCTAATTACCTATGATTCCAAAACTGCGAAAGAAAAAATGATCTTTCTTTTGTTCTCATTTGTCTCTTTGGCATCTTTATTAAAATTAAAAGTTAGTACTCCAGAATACAGAAAAGGCTGTTTGAGGATTCTTCTTTGTCAATGGGGGAAAAAAAATCTTATTTCTACCAAACAGGTGCAACAGAAAGAGTTGCTTTCTGTTGCAATGCTGGGTTGTTCCATAGACTCTGATTTCTATATTTCTGTATATTTTCTATATTTTTCTGCAGATAAATTTTGAAGTCAGAAGGGATGGGAATGTATATCCACTGGCAGTAAAAAAAAATTCCAAGACTATATGGAACAATCAGATTTGATATTTGGAGAAAAAATCTCTCTTTGTCACAAAATATTACTGAGAACATAAACAAGGAACATTCACTGAACAAGAAAAAGGTGTCAGAACAATGGTGAAATCTTCCCCGGTTTGCCACTGGTTCACTGCCCACACATGTGCGATCCGCGCCAAGTGCATGCTGCATATGCGTATCCAGTGCATGCCAAATGCACACTGCGCACGTACATGCAGTGTGTGCGTGCATACGCAGTACGTGTCAAATGCACACTGAACGCGAAAAAGGAGGCTTGGGAAGATAAGTAGAACAGCGAGGGGGGAACAACTGTGCCGCACGATTTAGATTCACTAGAAAGCAGAATTTCCTGCTTTCTAGCAATTTTAAATTGCACAGAACAGCTGATCGTCGGAAATACCAGTTCGGACCAACCGGTAGCTTTTATCACTACTGGTTTGCCTGAACCGGTGCAAACCGGTAGGATTTCACCACTGTCTCAGAATGTTATCAATGTGGTCAGGTAAACATGATTGGGATATGCAAAAGTGCAGCACTCTTTTTTAAAAAAAAGTCCAAAGGAGTAGAACAATCGAATGAGAGCAGAGACTGAATTCCCATTCTGAATTTACCATCCCCGTGTCTGTATGGTAGTATACAAGAAATTTGTTGCTTTGGCCAGAATAACTAAGGTAAGACAGTGTTGTAGCATCACAACATTCTACCTCTTTTGATGTGCATGTGTACAACACCACAACACTGATATTAATCTGATCCCCTCCTTGTCTTCTCCACCAGACACCACTGCTGCTGTGACACAGACCTTTATGCTGCTAGAGCCACCAAACTATCATTTTGGGCCATGATGGAAACCATCTATCAGCCTTCATTCAATTTGATCAAAGAGAATGCTCTTTCAGAATCTCCTTTCAACAGAGAACTTCAGGCACATTCTCATAAATTGAAAGATGAGGGTCTTCTACTTAGTTGTAATGCATCTAATGATGGTGTGTTTAAAATTAGTATCAGGGGTGAAATCCAGCAGGTTCTGACAGGTTCTGGAGAACCGGTAGCGGAAATTTTGAGTAGTTCGGAGAACCGGTAGCAGAAATTTTGAGTAGTTCGAAGAACCAGCAAATGCCACCTCTGGCTAGCCCCAGAGTGGGGTGGGAAGGGAGATTTTGCAATATCCTTCCTCCAGGAGTGGGGACAGAATGGGAATTTTGCAGTATCCTTCCCCTGGAGTGGGATGGGAATGGAGATTTTGCAGTATCTTTCACATGGAGTGGGGAGGGAATGGGGATTTTGCAGGATCCTTTTCCTGGAGTGGGGAGGGAATGGGGATTTTGCAGGT